TTATCACGATGTCCCTCTCGAGTAACCTATGACCGGGATTATTTAGGATATGTGTTTAAAGGTGAATCGATCTCATTATCGTGATCTCATCACGATCCGATTCCCATTGCACAAATCCAAGGACATCACAATATATATCTGCATTTATGCAATAGTTATAAAGTGATATACGCCAAAATATAATAAGCAAAAAGATTCTATATCAAGTCACACGTGTCATCACTCATGTGATTGGTTTGTTGGGCACCTATGACTAGCAATTTATAGTTTAAACAGGAAATATCAAACTTAATTTTCGGACTATATCGGAGTTGCCAAACTAACACCTTGGGTGCTGAGAGAAACAATGACTCATCTGCCATCAGGAGGCACTGCAAGGTGGAGCAGCACTCCAACAAGTCGATGGGCTGTCCTTGGCAGGACACAGGGCTGAGTGCTGACCACAACACGGAGAATCTCCTCGGTGGTGTCGAAGCCCTACGATGACCTCGACGACCCTTCTTCGACTGCACCATTCTTCGATTTGGAGGACATGTGGAGCTTCTGAAGAATTCGAGCTAGGTCGATGCATCAGGACCACCGATTCATCATCTCACCCTGTGTGTTCGCTAGATTCAATTACCTGGTATGTATCTCTCATTGTCCATCGCGCAAAGGGTGTGAGGACTAATGCAAAAGACGATTCTTTTGTCCAGCTAGTTGTACTGTCAATGGATTTGTAACCTTCAACCCTGTATATGGGAGGATTACAGTCTCTAATGACCAGCTAAAAGGATGTAAGAACTCAGTTAAAGGAGTGTGTGTGCGTGTGAGAGAGAGAGAGGTGCAAGTGGAGGAGGATTCTTCGATTCTTATTTGCTTCACCTAATAGCTTACTTTCCATTCAAAGCAAAGCGTTTCTGTTCATCACAAAGGGTTGGTGTGAGGAGAAGAACCACCTTTCATGCATCAAAATCCGGGGAAGAAACCACAAGGAACAATCTCATAGCACGAGAGAACACAACGTATATATGTTTTGAAGCTTGAAGGTTAAGCACCTTCACTACAAAGACTCGGTAATGGATAGAATGCCTTCTTCCTTCCATGGCATGAGATACCAAGATAGTATCTTGGTAAGCTTCGAAGCTAATCAATCCAATGCAGGCTTGGCTGCTCCCTCTCGAACTACAGACTACTGGCCAATCTCTACGGTGCAGAGTGGAAGGATTCAGAAGGAGCTCAAAAGAAAGAGAAACGTGAGGAGCACTGCCTCCATTGTTCGACAAGAAATCCGATAGTGGGATGTCAAGGCATGCATCGGGTTATCGAACGATGAAGTGGAATACGTAACTGCATGCGTAGTGTTCTTGGATTGTCGTGGTGGAATTAGAAACTTCAAAGGATTACTGTGAGGTGAAGAAGAGAGTTTGAATCTAATGAGTTCTGTGAATTAAAATCATGTTTGGCTTGTAATCTTTTTGGTGTCTTATTTATCACTGTTTGGAAATATTAGGGGTTGAGACGGGAAACATCAAAAATTTCAGTATCACAGCTATAGAATGTGTTTCTGGAAGAGTGTATATATATATATATATATATATTAGAATATTCTGTGGATCGATCTCTAGGGAGAGCCGATTTAGTTATATTATTTTTACACTATATTACTATATTTTCAGTAATACCTATATTTGTATAAATTTGTAAAAATATTATATTTATAGTGTTTTTACACCACATTATAAAATATTCAGTAACACTAAGAAAACAATGTAATGTAATATAAATTCATTGTAACACAGCATTTTTATACTACTTTATAATGTTTTCTTGATATTATTAAAAATATTGTGTTATAAAAGTGTTATAACTGTATTGACTCATTTTTAGGTAAAAAAAGATAGATGATTGGGTATTTTAAGTATTAGGTTAAAAAAAAAGAGAATACTATTTTAAAAAATTTAAAGTTTTTATTTTTTTTATAAATGTATATAAATAATCTTTCAGAAAAAGAAATAGATAAAATAGATAATACAAGGATGATAAATATAATAATAATAATAATAATAATAATAATTTAAGAAGGGGTTATGAACGGTAAGCTTTAGAAAGAAAAAGAAATACTCAAAAAAAAGAGGGTGGGTCCCACTATAAACAAGTAGCGTGGGTCCTGGGTGCGTCAACGGGTCGGTTGTGGAGGTGGAGTCCTACGCGTGTCTTCTACTACAACTGTCACCTTGCTACCATCCTGACCGTCTACATCTGCCGTCGCGGAACGACCTGCATCAACGAACGGAGGAGATCCAATACGGCAGCGGGATTAGACAGAACGGACAACAAGAAACGGTTTGTTCATATGTTTTCTTTATCCTATTCCTATAACAATCGACGATCTTTTTGTGTTTGTTCTCCTCGCGATCTCCCAATCATCTCCAATTTCTCCTCCTTTTGATCTGTGTTTTTTTTTTTTGGGACTTTTGGGTTTTTTGTTTGATCTCGTTGGGAGAAAGAAAAAAGCTTCGACCTTTGGAATCCATGGCGGAAACTTTGGCTCAGAGGACCCTCCTTTTGCCTGGCGGGCATCTTTCTTTGCCGCCGTTTTGCGGGATGCGGAGCCGCCCTTCTCTTGCGGCGTTCACTCTCTTTTCACGTACCAAGGTTGAGCCCTTGAGGTCTTCTTCTTGTGATAGCAAGTTCCATGGGAGGAGACTGGTCGTTGGGGCGCGGAGAGGGAGGCCCTCGAGGGCACGCCTCGGTTCTGGCTCTGAACAGGTGACCGAAACCTACAAAATCTTACCTTCTCTGGTTTTTCGTTCTTCTTGCCAACGTTTGATCTTTTTAGGTTTTGAGGGGGACTTTTCGTGTTTCCCCCTTTTCTTGTTCGCCATTTTTGATCTTTTCGGCTCTTTCTCGAACCAAAAAGATGATTTTTGGATCATTTAAAGTTTTGTGTGTATCTGGATTTTGAGGGTATCTTCGATTTGCGTTCGTGGTGATGACCTCTTTTCTTTCGTTTTGATTGCAGATGGTTCTGTCGTTCAAGAAGGCTATAAAATGGTGGCAGAAGGGGCTTCAACCCAATATGGTGGAGATCGAGTCGGCTGAGCATCTCGTCGACTCCTTATTGAACGCCGGCGACAAGCTTGTTATTGTGGATTTCTTCTCCCCAGGGTGTGGAGGCTGCAGAGCGCTTCATCCAAAGGTATATATATGATATCTGTAAAACCTTGTTACTCCTTGAACGTTTACAAGACAGCTTCTATATAGATATTGCAGATTAAACATCTTCTTTTTCTTCCCCTGATGTAATTTGCGTGTTTGCAGATTTGCCAGTTCGCCGAATCGAATCAAAATGTTTTGTTTCTCCAAATAAATTATGAGCAACATAAGTCGATGTGCTACAGCTTGGGTGTCCATGTTCTCCCCTTCTTTAGGTTCTATCGCGGAGCACACGGGCGCCTGTGCAGCTTCAGCTGCACCAATGCAACTGTGAGATCCATATCCTCCTTCCTTCCTTCCTTCCCTTCTGTAGAACTCAATTATTTCTTATCATCACCATCAAATGGTTAGTATGAGGATCATGTAATTCTTGTTGCAAACATTGATATGTAACATTCAAAATTAGTACTTCAATTTAAATCTGTTTTAGGATGATGAGATGCTGCTTGCTTGTAGCATATTGTTGATCTCTTAATTTTGTGCTTAGTGACGCTTCTGGTTACTCATAAAGTCTCTTTTACTTGCTACAACCCGTAAAAAAACATTGCTTTAGACGGAGTTAATCGCACGTAGTGAGCCATATTCATATTATTGAATTGTAGTGGTTTGGTTTAGAAACAATACTGCAAGCCTTTGTGTACTCTTTCTTGCTCGTGTGTATAAGGCCTATAGTTTCAATGTTTTGTGTAAGCTGATACCGTCTACAATATCAGTTTTTGGCTTCTCTTTGCATGTTGCAAGTGACCTTTGATAATTTGTTCTAAACCATTGTTTCCTGCATCACCAACAGATTAAGAAATTTAAAGATGCTTTGGCCAAGCACATCACTGACAGATGCAGCCTTGGGCCAGCTAGGGGGCTGGAGGAGTCAGAGCTCTTGGCTTTGGCCGCAAACAAAGATCTCTCATTTAACTACACAAGCAAGCCAGTTCCTGTGCCTGAAGAGATTCCAGAGAGAATTCCAACAAGCCCGAAACTCCCTCTTCATGCTGTCCGTAGACCTGCCCAGGAATCCGAGGACAAGGCCCTCGCCGCAGCTGGGAGATGAGATGGTGCTCGGTGATGTCTCATCTCCCATTAGCTGTTATACTACTTACTTTGTATAATTCGCGGCCGCTTTGTATACTTTGCTGTGTATATATGTTTGATGATTGCTGTAGTGCAGGCCATGTTTTTTGGTTTGAGAAGCCTGCTGATTGGGTATGTAGTTGGAGATGACCAGTGGTGTGCTTCCTCCCCTGCGGAGATCCTTGGTGTTTCTATATATTGCTCTATGCTCGAAGGATATTTGCTTCTATAAGTTGGAGCTTGTTGTTGAGACATGGTTCTGGTCGCTTGTCTTCTTTGTAAACCTTGCGTCTCATGTGAAGTGTGAAGTGAAAGCATGAAAGCTTATCCTAAAAGATGTGATGCCAGTTCCTTTTTCTCTGGTGTTGCTGATTTGGTTGGTTGTCATGTTCTATGACAGGGACAATGGTTTAATTGAATTGAAAGAATCCATGAGATAGTCTGGGGTTTGCTGCTGTTGTTTCAGGGTTATAACTTGTGGATAAAGAGCTGCAAGGAAGTTGCATGGTCAATGAGGCAGGATGTTAAACCAGTCCTAAGAACTGGCTGCAATCACAAGGAAAGATCTTTGGTGAGTGGCTATGGCTTAAAGCAGCAACAGAGGGTAAAGGTATCCAGGAGCAGCGGCATGGTTTTCTGTGGCGCAAGATTGAACACAAGGAAAGATATTTGGTGAGTGGCTATGGCTGAAAGCAGCATAAAGGGATAAAGACACTTTTTTTCTTTGCTCGTGATAACATAATTGAGGGGGAAAAAAGCATGATTGATCGATTTCGTTCCATCCAAAAACTTATGTACGAAATCGACGTGCCCGAGCCAACAGGGGTCGGCGGCAGAAGAGAGGACATCCTTCGGCCAGCAAGCAGGTAGCAGTGTCCATGGAGAAACGGAGGGTATGCAGGGGAACTAAAACAGGGAGGCCTACTGTAGATTAATCATATATTATTCTTATCGATAGAGAAGAAGATGCAGAGCGTCGTCGCTATCGTCTTATCTCTCGGTATCGTTATCTTCTTTTCGTCCACAATAATTATTTAAGATAAATAAAATTTTATATTTTACTTTTATAATCACAGAAATTTTAATATAATTTTTTTAAGTCTAGTAATAAAAAATGCTAAAGAAATTTAATTTTGGAGGTAACGTATAATTAGGCCGACGATGAATCTGATCTCCGTCGAGCACGGAGGCTTGGGTGCGTGGGAAGACGTCATGCCATGCTATAGGAAATATCGGGTTAAAGGAGAACTTTCGGGTCGGGTTCGGGTCTTGGTTATCGGATTAATAAACCGGCGGGTGAAAGAAAAGAAGAGTCGAGGCTACGTAGACCCCATTTTCGGGTCGGGTTCGGGTCTCAGTTATCGGGCTTACAAACCGGCGATTAAAAGGGCAAAGAAGAGTCGAGGCAACGGAAACCGCCGACGGCCGGGTTTAAGCCGCACGCGCCACGGGACGACGCTGCAAGTCCGACCGGTGGTCTCTCGTGGCAACGCCTCGGGGCGGGGGCTCGAGAAGGCGGTCGCGGCCTTTCTTCCAAGATCATCGGGCACTCGGGTATTATCTCTTCCTGTCTGTGATTGTACGTTCTCCAACTGCCGAAGCAGTGTTCTTGGAGGTTTTGTTGGGTGTTTCTTGGTTTCAGATGTAGAGTGAGGAACCAAGAATGCAAGAACAATTAGTACTCTTTCTTTCTTCGGATTTTTAGGTGCTTTAGGAAATTGGAGTCACGTATAGGTCGTTTACGCTGCAATAGTTCGTTTCTCTTGTGATTTAGAGGGGATAAGGTCGATTCTTGTAGGAGGATCGCGTCGAGGTGGTGGTTGCGCCCGCGCGTGTCCAAGATCTTTCGGCGTTCGGTTATCCTCTCTTCCTTCTATCGTTATACGTATGCAAAAGTAGAGTTTTGGAATTTTTGTCGTTGTTTCTTGATTCGAGAAACCAAGAATGAAATTTTGATGCCCTACCGGGGTTATTTAGGTGGCATTAGCTTTCTCCTTTTCTGCTTTAGGGGGAAATAGGCGGCTAATTCTCGTTGGAATTTTGGTGGTGCTACAAGCTTCTTGTTCTTTTCCTGTAGTGTAGTGTCTCTCAAGCATTATAATTGGTTGTTGATGGTTTAACTGCATGAGATGTTGAAGTTTTGCTGCGCGTCATTTGATTCTTGGAAGTCTATTTTAAATTTAAATAGGTAATTGTACTTGTAAATCATTATGGTGTCCACTCTCTGTTTGTGGAAATTCCTCTGATGGCAATGCTATTGCTTACCGGGATGGAATCCTAGGCACATGCATTTGGCTCGACGGACATGACTCATGGCACCAAGAAGGCAAAATCCAACCAAATAGCAATGCAGGACACGTGTGGGGCAGTTCAAGGAAATTTTTGTGGGTGGAAAGCATGGGCACCATAACCATGAATTCGGTCGGTTCCTTTGCCTCCATACATGCAAAAGTACTTGTGCTTTACCTTGACAATAGATGCAAATTTGAATTTTAGTTACTCACAAAATGTTTCTTTTAGTAGCAGAGTTTTTTCAACTTACAGTAGAGGAATGAGAATTATTTCTAGGTCGTAGCTGAAAGTCTTTGACTGAAAATTATTGATGCAAGGCAACAATTTGATGCTATTGGAACATTGAGTAATTCTTATGTAGTGATATTGTGTCTTTGCAAAGCAGCTAACTTAGTATTTTATGCTATAATTGCTATACTTTTGCGAGTCTTAAAGAAAATTGTTCCATTCATTTTTTTTCCCTTTCTGATACTTGTTTTCTTAACCTTATATTCACGGAACTTGTAGTCCTGGAATTTGCTATACAGCATGGATGTCCATTTTTCTGCATTCTGGATGTACCACACAATATTTATGGTTTGCTCACCTAATAATGTTCTGCATTTTGGAAGTACTGCCTGATACAGCATAAATGTGGAAAAAGAAAATGTTTTCCTAATTAAGATGGACCACCACTTATACATTGATTGAATCAAAAGGGGTTTGATTGCTGAGGATTTACATCTTATAATAGATTATTATCCACTAATCTAGTCCTCTCCTTTTAGACATTAACTTATAAGCAGCTTCTCACCATACTATTAAGTTTTCGGTCATCATGACTCATAGCATTTGGTAGTCGCTTATAATCATCGGAGATCAAGCTTTTTGTAAACTAAGCTTCTTATCGTCCATCCCAGGTTGTCAGTGGGGTTTTAAACATATAGATACTTATCATGACAAGTAACTAGACATTGAAGATTTTCCCAATACATTTAGCATCAAATTACATGATCCATCTTTTAGAAAGGGAGATAGATTTGGCATGTTATCATCCAGAATGTCAAACATATACTACCACGATCTATTATTGTCTTGGATGGTATTATGGGGTTAAATTGGTTTAATGGATTATGTATCCCAGTGTGGTCTACGACAGCTTTGTGATCATCGTGGTTCACAAGGTCCAGTGTTTTGTGTCCAGAAAATGGAAACACAATCGATCAATTTGATTTCTTTTTCAGATATCGATTCACACACCTTAATTTATTATGATAGCTTTACTTGTGCTTAGTATGTTAGTCCTATATATAAGTTCACAAATCACATGTTTATTTAGGTTTGCTATTTTGTTATTCCTTGTCATAGTGTAGTTGGTATTTCTGTTATTAGATGCAGTCTTATTATTCCCCTATTATTTCATCTATGAAACTGAAGTCACGATATGCAATTTCATAGTTGTATAAGGTGGACCAATGATCCCTGAAACTCTTCAGAGGTGATATGGCCTTCAATGAACCTGATGTGTGTGGGCTTGTGCATATGGACCCACATGCCAGGTCTGTGAGAGGCCATGTCACACCTGAAAAAGTGTGATCTGGTTCACCGGAAGAGCAAATCTCTTTATGAAAACATTTATATCCTGTTTCCTTGATTCTGTGTTTTAGGTAAATTTTATTCTAGGTGGTCGCCTGATGATACACTCATCCACCTAGGCTCCTAAGGTCAAACTATATGGGTTTGAAAACCTTGGCCGGAAACCTTATTCTTGATGTTGAGGTTAAATTTCTCTAACATCCAACATCTCAACTGGGATGTGCTTTCAGAAATCATGGTAGAGGAGGCAGTACCTGTTTAGCTTACTGTTGGCTTTGCTGGCTAGGTAATATGGTTCATGCACTCTATCTTAAGTTTCAACATTTTAACTGGGATGATTGCTTTGATACACACACACACACACACAGAGAAGTAACAAGACGAGACCAATTTAGGCTTGTCAAGTTAGAAAAAATGATTGTAAATTTTGTATTAGAAGTATGATTGATCGGTGCAGGTAATCTGGAGAGTAACCATTCACACGATGGTGATGCTCCTTCCTGGGTGATCAAGGCCCCTTTTTTTTCTATAGGTAAAGGATCCAAGTGCATACACTTGTTGCTTGTTATGCATTAACATATGTTTCATGAAACAATATCTCATTCATGTCTTTGGTACAATCTCGTCACTCCCCTTCGGAAGCTTGATCATTGCCATTAGAAACATTTTCTGGGTGTTTGTTTACGGGTTATTGTCATTAGGTTGGCATTGCCATTATCGTACCTTGCTTATGAACGGCCTCCAAGCTTGCCCGACAAATTTGAAATTTCATTTAGCATCGGAGAAGTTGTTTATCATAAAAATGTGGTAATGGGATTATCATAACTTCACGAGTTCCAGGTCATTCAATGATGTTGTAGCAACTATTTCATCACTTTCTTCTCGTTTGAACACCATTGCCATCACATTTCCCCAGTTGTGATTTGTGTTTTTTTTTGTCGAAGCAGGAGTATCATGCCATACTGATGAATCATTACAAAACATTGAGACTTAGCACTCATCCTGGTGCATTCTATATGAAAGTCGATTGTTTGTTTGTAGCATTATCATATCTTTTAAAACGTCTGCTGTTCATTGATATGATTGGTATTCTTCTCAGTTGATTGGCATCTTGGTCTCATCATGTTGTTCTGTTGCTGTACTTAAAACAATCATCACCCTAGTAGGCAACACATGTTGTATTGCAAGTGATTCTGATAGAGACTTTTGTATCACAGTTGAGTGACCCCAGAGCTACCACCGAAATCTTTAATTGATCTCAAGCAAGGCCAGCATAGCTTTTAGGGCTGTCGGCTCTTTTCTCTTTAGACGTCTAATAGGATGATGAAAGTTCCAACAACTACAAGAGACTGATACTTTTGTGTTGGTAGCATCCATGGTCGGTTTTCCTACCAGGAAATAGCTGTGTACCACTCAGTCATGCAGGTTACTATTTATTTTATGTTTGTGTTAGAAGAGGCTTCAACGGACGGTACCTACTGCTATTACTTTAGCTATTTTGTTTAGAAGATATAACATGGCATTATTACCGACCAGAAGCAGTCGTATCATTCTAAAAGTACAATGGATGAGCCCATGAATATATGTCTGTGTAGGCTTCTTGTGTGCGGCAGACTGCAAATTACGAAAGGGAGAGATTCCATGCTTTATTTTAGTGCTTGTAGAGTCCACCGAGTGATGACATAGGTACTGTTTGTTTGGTAGTTTAACCGGGGTTAGATAAAGGAAGTGTTTTGAATATATATATATATATAATATATATATATTCTCCCAAGTCAACAATTACTGCGGTTTCAGTTTGGTTAGTGCCTTCTGGCTATTCTGATAAAGTTAAGCAAACATCTTTATATAATATAATAATCCAGTTCATTGTATTGATGACATTGTACCACACATGGCTTAAGTGGATGGATCCTTACCTTTCGAGTTGGATGTGTATGCTTTTTTGCATGGAAAAGTAGCTGCCCTCTTTTACTCTTCTTTACTCGGTGGAGTAGTAACCAAAGATGAGTAGGGCACATACATTAACTTAATTATATCAGTCTGCAGGTGTCATTACTTTTTCTCTTTTTATCAGTCATTTTGCTGATGGTACGCACTGGCTGCAGTCTTGTGCCTATGACTTATAACAGGTCTGCTGAAAGACCCAAGTCTCCTGGCTTATAGTCTTTCACAGGTTCCCAAGAAGACATGTGACTCGTGTAAACATAGCTTCCTAATGATCTGTTTCTTTTCTCCTCTAAAGTGCTGGTGTCTCTGCCAGGTTCATCAAGACATGGGCTCTGTCAAGTGGCTAGGCTCCCTTCTCGCTACATCTCATTGGAAGCAACTATTTCACCACCATGATTGTAGTAAGCTGGGGGTGCTGTCAGTCTGCAGTCAGCACCGGAGCCAACACGAAAGGCCTCTCTTACCAGATTGGGCGGTGAGAATCATGAGGAACCCCCGGACTCTGTGTCAGACCAGCTACAAAACCCTCCACCGATCAGTTGCCACCGGGAGGAAAGAGCCTGGCCAGATGACATGACGTGAAAGTATCAGCACAAGCAGAAGCAGAAGCCATCGTTGGCCTGGCTGGCTCCCACCGCGGCACTCAGAGCCCCAACGGGGAATGCTGATCTCCCTGCTTTAACCATCGGAAATTAGAGCTCCTCCCCTGGGGAAGCGTGTCGCGGTCGTCGCGGAGGGGAGAGGGAATTCAGATGCGTGCTCCGTGCTGCTGTGGACGCCATTGTTGAGAAAGATCGATCTTGTTTGTGTTCACTTCCAAATCGATCTTGTTAAGAGAGATAGAGAGAGAGAGAGATTAGAGTAACCGGCCTGTTGCTAGTGTAGGCTATAGAACAATCACGCAAAGCTTATGTTGAAGTTGATGTCAAATATGACAATAGGATTCTGATAGAACACTCTATTTTGGAGTGTCTACTCTTCTACTAAATTTGCTATGTTCATGGATGGCTAATATTACTGCTTGCAATTCGAGCCTAATATTTGGATGAGGCGCTTTTTATGTTTCTTTCGTAGAGGCATCCCTCTCCTGGGTTTTTGTGTATAGACTTGATTGATGCTTATCATCAGAGATATATATATATATATATGCCCATTATTTGTTAAGATAGGTATGTACAGGCAAGAAACCTGTTGTGATATGTATCAACGTTATCAAGTAACTCAGTGATTTGTTTTGGAGATTTGTCTTTTTAACACATTTTTTGGTCTTCGGAATATACTTGAAAATTTGTACTGAAACAAGGGAGAATAACACACTAAAAGATCAATATTCGTTTCAATCGATCTCATGAAAAGTCGGGCTTGATCATGCGTGCAGCATCAAAAACAGCTTATTTAGTGAAAGAGCACTCGTTCAGAGTGTCAGTAGTTCTCAACTATGCATGCATATACCGTCATGCATTATGATTCATATATTGTGCATAGCTAAAAATCCATATCACAAGAAATAAGAAGGTTCATTGTAGTCATATGGTCAGTCGGATGAGAGCATCATCTCTGTTGGTTTGACCTGCAAATTGAAACTAAGCTCACGACTTTAGTTGACTAAAAATGTTGGAGGAGGGCGGACAACACAGGATCAAAGTTCTTCGGTAACAAAGGAAAGCTGCTGTTTCAATGAACAGAAACCCCTCATCTCATCACCTTCACCTCTCTCTCTCTCTCTCTCTCTCTTTCTGACCTCTCTTCTCCCTTGTTCATTAGGAGGATGGAGCCCTATCTTTCTTATGTTGCTCCAACACCTAGGAAATCAATGAAGGTCAATCCACTCCCATGTGTTGTTTCACCACGAGGCAGGTCATTGCTCATGTGGTAGGCCACTGAAACCTCCTCAGAAGCTGAACCGGTGCAACCAGGCTCATCAACAACCCCAGGAAGCAACATCCTAGGAACACGAGGGGAGAAGCCACCACCGGAGTCACCAAACCTCCCGACACATCTTTTCCCTGCAGCAGCCACCATCTTTCCATCAGACATAAACCAAAACTGATGACCCCATAAGCCATGGATAAAGAGTTGAAAGAAGGTAGCAGCCAGATCAAACTTTGAAGAACCAACCACGGAGAAAGGATCATACCATTGAGTAGTATTTGAGAGGGGATGTGTCCATCAGGGACGCTAGGAACAATCCTGCTGGTGAAGGAACTGAGAGAAAGGTCTGCGCCAGTGGAAGCAGACTCATCTCTGGTGCTGGTGATGGTCGACTCGCCACTGCACGCGTTGTTGTTGTTGTTGTTGTTGGGGAGAGGTTGAGGAAGGAGAGCGCAGGAGGGGGAAACAGATGGCCTTCTTGATCTCCGGTAAGCGTTGGACTGCTCCCTCTGCTTCCTGGCCATGATCACATGCCAGTGGTTCTTGACTGCGTTGTCTGTCCTGCCCGGGAAGAGCCTGGCGATCAGTGCCCACTTGTTGCCGTAAAGCCTGTGGGCAGCGAGAAGCCTCTCCTCTTCCACCTCACTGAACGCGTTCCTGTTGATCTTTGGGTCGAGCTGGTTGAACCATCTCAGCCGGCAGCTCTTCCCTGCCGAAAACCAAATCCGGAAACAAGAAGCAAGAAGATGAATCAGTCGAGCACATGGATGCGTCCTACAAACACACGTAGATGGATCATCACCCGGTCATGCTCGAGTACCTGATCTGCCTTCTAGCTTCTCAGCAATCAGGTTCCAGTTCTGGGGGCCAAACTGGGAGACGAGCTCCTTGAGCTTTGCGTCCTCAGCTGGCCTCCAATGGCCCCTGGCACATAGCCTGTGCTGCTGTTCGTTCCCATGAGGACTACCATCACCGCCTTCTTCCTCCCCGCCTTGGCTGTTGCTCTTGTCATCCCCACCTGCAACCGCAGGAAATGGAGACGCCACCGGAGGGAAGAAACCCATGTCGGCACCTCTGAGGTTCACTGCATTTGGAGCCATTTTCTTACCCAGGAATGACCAGATGAGAAGACAACAAAGATGTGAGCAGGCAAGGAGGAGTCGAAGAACAGCTGCTCCGGTGTCAAGCTTGATGATAGCAGACCTCTAAAAATGAGGAAGAAGAGAGATGCTGGAGGACCCAAAGATCTGTTCACCAAGAAAGAAACTCAATACAAGGACAGAAAGGAGATGAACCTCTCTCTCTC